AGCAGCAGTAAGGCCCTGTTCGCAATGCCACCCGGCCGCGCAAGACCCCCTGTAGGGCCTCGTCACCCCATACATTTCTTTGTATTTTTTTTTAGTAATGCCGGCGCTCCGCGTGTCCGCCTTACTGCTGCTCCACTAGAGATCACATTCAGTGAAACCTTTTTATGGGAAGTTTTTCTCTTTCCTTCATCCCCCACAGTTCTTTCTGTAGCCTAACAGTGCCTCAATGCACAGACTAACCTAGGGTCCTACACACAGAGTTAATCAATCCAATTGAAGATTATGTAACTCGTATTGTCACATGACATGCCTCATATCTGGCTTGGTGTTACTTATCCCTATCACTAAATAAGGCAGAGTCTAGACCCTTCTTTACCATTGGTCGTGAGTTAGAATAGATCACGATCCTACCTTTTCCTTGACTGATTAACCTGGCAACACAAAGAAACTCGTAGAAATCCACCGTCCCCGAGGAATCTATGTCAACCTCCATCATGGCTTCCTATGGTTAGCATAAAAACATCAACAACAAAATGAAACGTCGATTAAGTTTGTTTGTTTTCTCCCTCTGTTACTTAATCCCCTGTAAAAGACCTCCGCACTTGTTAACCTTAATGCATAGAGCTTTTGATGGTAAATATTTGATATGCGCTTTTTTGCCTGTGTAGTTGATGTCTGGAGTTGCGGGTTTGATTCTTAACTGAACCGCATATGTAAGTCGAGTTTGTTTGTTCTCTCCCTTGCTTGAATGCCGTTTTTCTCCAGTTTCACCAGTTTTCCTCCCTTCATAACAATCGACATGTGAATAGCCCACTTCCGAGATATGCTTCGCTTGTCACGCACAAAGGTTTCAGTATGAGGCTACGTGCTAAATGCTCAGTCATTCGTGACAGGTGGTAAGAATTAATTCAATTTAGCACGTAGCCTCATACTGATACCTTTGTGCGTGACAAGCGAAGCCTATCTCGGAAGTGGGCTATTAAGAGTTATACGCATAGAATATTGAATGTAGTATTAATGTGTAGGAGTGAAAGAGGCGCAAATTGGATATTCGTATAAAAATACACTCATCATAAAAAGAATCGCTTATTATTACCTTAATTTCTTCAGTGGTCGCCATTCTTCCTAACGTGTCTGGAATTGCTCGAAGCAGCTGATGAGAAAAAAGAGTTTGGCCATGGTTTGGCCTGAGTAAGAATCACACAAAATTACAATTGTCAAGCTAACCTTTCTAGTAACTCGAAGTTGCGCATTGTTTGAATAACAACGTTAGAGGTAATGAGAAAAATGTCAAATTAAACGACTTAAAATAGCTTAAAACCATATTATTTTGTCACAAACTAGAATTGCAATCGAAAGTAATTGTCAACATCGCAAATTAAATTAGCCATTATCATGATGACGTCACGTAAAGAAAACATTTAGTGACGTCATCGATCCTATATTACGTCACTAAATATATCAACGCGCGCGAAAAGAAAACACACGTTGCGCACTCGATCGATTAAAAGGATTTCATCTTGCACAGGGGAAAAAATAATATTTTTCAAATAACCATCAACCATCTTCGCTTGGTTCTATTGGTATGCATGTATGAGTGACCTGGTTATGATATATCCTTGTGATAGCTGTCCAATACTCACCTCTTGTGTGTCTAGATGAAAATCTCCGTTCGCATCAAATGATTTAAACTGTGCAAACATTTCTTCAATCTAAAAGATAATGCGATATAGCTGTGAGATTGTGACTTTAAGGTGCCATATGGGACAAAAATCTTTGTTTAAATTCGCTCAACCTTGTCCTGAAACGCCTGAATGCGAGGCTACCGCGAGAGTAAGTTCCATGATGGAAAAAAACAAAAAGTCTTCTTAAAAATTTGTATACATTCGTATTCTGCGCACAGAAATGATAAATGTCCCTCGCTATTTCTCTTCTTCGAAAGGAAGAGGAGTGAATAACTGATGGTACAGGAAAAGGAAGTCCCTCGTGAATTGTTGACTTACTTGGTTTTCTGACCATTCAGGAAAGTGTTCAAGCGTTTCTTTTGTTAAAGGTTTGCATTGCTTCATGTCAACGAGCTGTGGATGAACTCCACTGACTGAAAAACAACATTTCAAACCATTTATTATTAAACAATCAAAGAGGGGATCAAGGATGGCGTAGAAGTAAAGCACTCGCCCTCACCTCTTGGGTCTCGGGTGCCATTTCTGAACTCGAAATCTTGTGTGTAAAGTTTGCTGGGTCCCTCCCTTGATTTCAGGGATTTTCTACCCGGGTTCTATTCTTGAGTTTTCCTCCCTCTGCCAAACTCAAAATGCTAAACTCCAATTTAACGTTTGCATTTACCGGGCCTTGAGTTTGACCAACCCAGAGATTGTTTCAGGGTTTGATCTGTGAGTTAGCTGTGCCCTGACTTAGATCAGCCCAGAGGTTCTTTCAGGGTTCAATCTGTGAGTTAGCCATGCCCTGACTTAGATCAGCCCAGAGGTTATTTCAGGGTTTGATCTGTGAGTTAGCTGTGCCCTGACTTAGATCAGCCCAGAGGTTGTTTCAGGGTTCAATCTGTGAATTAGTCATGCCCTGACTTAGATCAGCCCAGAGGTTATTTCAGGGTTGTATCTGTGAGTTAGCCATGCCCTGACTTAGATCAGTCCAGAGGTTATTTCAGGGTTCTATCTGTGAGTTAGCCATGCCCTGACTTTAATCAGCCCAGAGATTGTTTCAGGGTTCTATCTGTGAGTTAGCCGTGCCCTGACTTAGATCAGCCCAGAGGTTGTTTCAGGGTTTGATCTGTGAGTTAGCCATGCCCTG